GCATTCATGAATGTTCTACCCCGTAAGGTAATACGATACCTCGGAGCCAGTCTCCGCGCAGTGACGCTCACGAAAATGCCTTATGACATGTTTGCGGTGCCGAAATTCCGTAATATGCTGTGGATTTCGTCACTTTGCTCAATAGGTGTGAGTGATTTTGTCACAAACTTCCGTGAAAGTGCTGTACTTGATTTTGGACCATGTTTGAACAATTTTTTTTAGTTCCCAATGTTAGTTTTTAGTTAATCTCTACCACAAACAAAAATGAGTTGCATTTGTAAAGAAACAATAATCCATCTCTCATATCGACGGATATTACAACTTGGTCTTCGTATGTTCTATTTTCTAAATATTCCACACCATTTCGGATATCGCTTCTATGATGACCAATGCGACAAAAGAACGCTTCAAAATTGGATCGAAGAACTGTTTTATTCTTTCATCTTTGTTATTAGTTACGAATATGGTGAATGTGCTGCGTCTTGGGTTTTAAATATAATAGTTGTTGTATTATATCCAGTCTAATCTTACTTCATGGTTAGGAACAAGTTGAATAAATATCTGTGTTATCGTTGAGGTTATATTTTAACAATTTTTTTTCTAGAAACCACCGCATACTCAAAAAAAAAATTTTGAGAAACAATTGATGATGACGTTGCGAGGAGCGAACTGCGACAAAAGTGTTTTGAAGAGAACATTCCGCATATTTTTCTAAACCTTAGACCCTCTTTTCTCCCTCATATATTTAGCGTTTTTAACTCTATTTTGTTCATTAATACGCTATCTCTTTGGTTTTTCATGAACTTTTTTCTCACATCTCATGTTTTCATAATTATTTCATATTTTGAGCGAGTATTGCAAATTGATAGTGAGTGCAATGGTGTTGAACGCTCAGCGTTCCTAATCCAAAATACTGCACATGTTGAACTTTTGTCTGATGAGTTTATGACAAACTACGTGTAGGATATATAGTATATATAAATATAGTGTGTATTTATAGTAAATATAAATATAATTATACCCTGTATAT